TCCTATCGTTCGTTCGATCGTTTGTGAAAGGAGAAAAAAAAAAAAGAAAAAAGAAAGAAAAGAAAGAAATAAAAAAAAAAAAGAGAGAAAAGAAAGAAAGAAAGAAAAAAAATAAAACAAAAAAAAAAAAAAGAGAGAGAGAGGAAGAAGAAAAAATAATGAATGAAGAAAAATTAAAAAAATGATTATATGTAATATCGTATACAACTTTGATCGACAGAAACTCATTTTCGAGTTTCAAATTTGTTTTACGTATACGTAAAAAGCTTCTTTCGAATATCATCGATATCAATGTCCCATTTACAAAATATCTCCTCTTTTGGCGATATTAATAAAATTATTATAACGCTATTTATTCGTTCATTCCCGTTCTTTCATCGGACAATCGTATCTCTATTTTAATTTTACGATTTTATCATTTGGCTTATTTTATTTTATTTTATTTGTTTGTTTTTCTTTTACGTATATATATATATATATATATTTTTTTTTTTTTTTTTTTTTAAATATGCTTTCGTACATTGGTTCGCCATTCTGTTGTAGCATGTACTCGGTTTCCGTTTTATCCTTCTCCGTGTCTCGTTGTGTGTCTGAAATAAAATATATGAGGGTAACGTACGAAACGTGAACAGTGATGATTCATTTAACCGATAATTATTCTTCGAGGCTTCACGAGTAAATTCTGGTGCTTATTGAACGATCGGTATTGCTTGATTTTCTTGCCGAAAGTACAAGCTCGGGAAAGTTTTGTTGCCTCCATGTTTAATACGTATACGTTAGTACGTATCTATAAGAGGGTATATATATATATGTGTGTGTGTATCTCTGTGTGTGTGTGTGTGTGTGTAAAGTGTACGTATGTACCTATGTATGCATTTATATAAGTATGTATAGATATATACCGTATATTCGTATATACGTAAATATGTATATGTCGTGTATATTAAATAGAGAAAATATTCCGTGCACGTTCGTAGCTTTCAACTCGAAATTCGACGCATATTCTTTCGAATTCGTTGGGATCTTTGCATTAGAATATAAAAAAAAAAAAGAGAAAAAAATGAATGTCGAACTGATTCGAATCTCAAACGAAAAATTCGGAATATACGCGTAAGCTACGTGTTACGACACTCGATACTTAAGTCGAGATAAAAAAAAAAAAAAAAAAAAAAAAAGAAAAAAAGAAAAAAATAAATAAAAGAAAAGAAAATTCGTTTGACATCGTTGAATTTCGTCGTATCGTTAATTGAATCGTTGAAACGTGAGTCATGGTGTAGTACTTAATCAAGATGTACCATTCTTGTTGGAGGACGAATCATCGGAGAAAAGAGGAAAAGGGAATAGGAGGAAAAAAAAAGAAGAGAAAACAAAAAAAGAAAAAAAAAAATAATGATCATTGACCTTTCGATTAACGTCTTACTAAACGACAGTATCGTATAAAAACGTAAGAAAAATAAAAACTCGGAAATCCTTCGATTCTCCTTGATTCCTACGTTCCCGTTAATAATATTTTTCGAGAAAGCAAAATCGTTCTCGAAGAAGAAGTCGAGAATTACGAGGGTATCTGAAATTTCCCATGGCTTCTCTTCGAGGAAAAAAAAAAGAAAGAAAGAAGGGAAGAAAGGAAGAAAAAGTAAAAGAAATAATAAAAGAGGAGAGAAAAAGGAGAGAAAGAGAGAGAGAGAAAAAAAAATAAGAGAGAAAAATCGCCCTTCCCCCAACCAAGAGAAGTCGTTCGAATATTCAACGTATCAGCCCGGTTCTCTCGCTTTACTCTACCTTATCCCTTTTCCCTTTAGAATCGTGGTAGGATAAGTTGAAATTCAAATGCTCGAAATCGCGCGATACAATGTGTATGTGTATACATATATATATATACATATATATATATATATATACACATATAAGCGCGCGTGTGTATATATATATATATATCTACATACGTATATGTGAAAATTAGGTATTCGAGTCCTGAATTTAGGTGGGCCTTTTGGAAAATCAAGTAGGTCTTTTGCGGTAAATTGGAAATGAGTGAGCGCAAGAGTAAAGAGGAAGAAAATAGGAGAAGAAGAGGTACGAGGAAAGAGGAATCTCAAATTTGAAATTTTAATCGACCTAGAAGATTTCCCGATCGGCGGAAATGTATTCTGAGTTGATGACATCGTTAAGTGTGCAAGAAAGAAAAAGAAGAAAGAAAAAAAGAAAAAAAAAAAAAAAAAGAAGAAGAAAAAGAAAAAGAAGAAGAAGAAGAAGAAATTTACTATTGTATCCATAAAATTGGGGAAAGGTAAATGAAGTAACATTGAAGAAAGAGAGAGAGAGAGAGAATGGGAGAGAGAGAGAGAGAGAAGAAAGAACTGAATTTTTCTATTAAAAAGAAAGAGAGATAATTTATCACGTCGAATGTTCCCTTTTTATCAATCGAGCTTTCTTCAACACTCTGTTGACACGCCTTAAGAGAAAAGCGTTCATAACAAACGATCACGGAATGGCCGATTCTTTCGGAAACATAAATCATTCGTTGTGAGACGATCGAAACGCGAAAAGCGACAAAGAGTCGAAGTCTTACTAGTCGAAGGAAAGAAGTTTTCCTGCTTCACGTGCTGCGTTTGTCGACTTCCACATGAATTCCTTTCGTGAGAGTGCAAGTAAGATGAATGTATAAAATGAAAGAGAGAGAGAGAGAGAGAGAGAGAGAGAGAGAGAGAGAGAGAGAGAGATACTTTGCGAAACGTCTGTCGAGATTCTACCCTCAGGGACTTCCATTAGCAACGTAATTGCAGTTCGAAACTCCTGCATCGAATCTACGATCGACGATACGCGTTAAATGTACACGTGCATACGTGTGCGTGCACGATATCGCGTATATAGGGTGAATCGTATAACGTAATCACCTTTCCTCCATTAAAATATATATATATATATTTTGTATCCGAAATGATGAAAATAATTTTGCAAGAATTATTACTAGAATCGTGCTCGTAAAAAAATTGTTTATAAATATATTTAGGATAAAAAAAAAATATTAAAAGGAAGACGAACAAATTTATATTACGGAATAATCAAGTTACAACGAATCACCTTATGTAATCGAAAGAAAAGACAATTTTTATGTATCACATCGGAATTCCCGAATACTAATATTTTTTTTTTTCTCCATTCTCGTTTCGATAAACGATCACTCCCAGATAACTTTACCTCTTGCATGTATTAGCAAAAAGGGAAATATCTTTTATTCGGTCATATTAAAAGTCAGGAAAAAGCCCTTTTCCTTGAAAAGCTCCCTTTTCAAAGCCTTAGATCGATTCCAAGCGCGAACGAGCTGGATCACGAAGAATGTGAATTGACAGTGAGACGCGATTAGACTTTCTATCTCTTCTCGGTTCTCCTCACCCCTCACCCCACCTCACCCTAGCCCAGCCCATCTCATCCCATTCGACTCACACGTTTTATCACCCAACAGAAATAACTTTCTTGACTTTATACGAGAGAGAGAGAGAGAGAGAGAGAGAGAGAGGAGAGAGAGGACGGTATTCTTATAAATGTGTACCATTTTTTTTTACTTTTTCATAAGAGCAAAATAATAAACGAAACATTTTGCATTTAAATTTCAAATACCTACGTACAAAAAAAAAAAAAAAATAAAAGTTCATCCTCTCTCTCTCTCTCTCTCTCTCTCTCTCTCTCTCTCTCTCTGATAACCTTTCCTTTCGTAAGAACAACGGCTAATACGATTCTTATTTAGTTATAACGTCGAGATAAAGAATATTCGTCGGTAAAACAAAAGTATATTATAAGACCGGCGCAAATCAGTAGGATAAAAAAAAAAAAGAAAAAGAAAAAGAGTTAAATTTAGGATCGATAAATAATTATTAATTACAATGCAATAATCCCAACGACTTGTCGAGAATATGATCGATTAACGATAGATATCGATATCGCGGTTTCTCGTGGAGAACGTACGATATCTAAGATCGAAAAGTTTAAATAAGACCACGATTGAGAGTGAGAAAAATATATGTTTTTTTTTCTTTTTTTTTTTTTTTTTTTTTTTTTTTTTTTTTTTTTTTTTTTTTTTTTTTGCTTTTTTGTTAAGAAGAAGAAGGAAAAAAAAAGAAAATAAAAGATAAAAAAAAAAAGATAAAAATAAAAATAAAAACAAAAGAGATTACTTACACCTCGAGAGGATTTTTTCTGGGCGGTGAGATTTTGGGGGCTCCATTTGGATAGTCTGCGGTGCCTCCCTTGGACTCGTGGACCACTGATAAATTCGCTGTGTCATTGCGCATTCTCAGTTAACAACTCTGTAAATAAAAATATAAAAAAATATAGGCCGAGTAAAGGTAGTAGACAGATAGAAAGAAGAAAAAAAAGAAAAAACATAGATTAACAGATAATCGTTATTAGAATGATCTACGCAGAGCAATCGAGTCTACGTTAGGTAATGAACAACAAACGCGTGAATTATTACAATACTATTGTATACCGGTAATTAAGTACAACTGTACCAACATGCACCTCTATTTGCTTCGGTCATTATCTACTAAATCACACATTTGCCTTCTGCGAATACCCGAATACACAAATACACGATCGCCTGCCTACTGACCAGATACTCATCGGTTGTATATACTAATTAATCGATCCTATCGTATGAAACTTTCCACCCTCGAGAACCATTCCACAAGGCTTATTCCTCGTCGAAAAGTATTACTCTAGTTCGAATTTAGATTTTATACGACTTGAAATGTTATCATGTTTGCCATTCCGAAATGTTAGATTATAGTATGAACTTTTTGATCCATAAGGAAATGGGGGTTAATTATAGAGTCAGTCAAGAAATCGAATCTATTCGACGTCACAAGATATAACTACGTAAAGTCCTTGAAAGATCACTTTGGTTAGTCAGAAAGATGAAAAGATTTTCACGTTCTACGTAAAAATATTGAATTAATAGGAAAAGAAATATCAATGTATAACTATATAGAATCGAGAGGAACGATCAAAAAGTTCAATTTTAATGACACTCGGATCGGTCTATAATACTTTGACTGAATTAAAAGGTAGGCTATCTCTTAGCGTATATATTAAAATTATCTCGACGCGACTATCGACAATAAAAATCGTATGTTTATCAAAGAGTACACTTATACGATCGGCGATGTATATCGCGTTGCTACTTTTACGAGAGACGTCTCGTCAAACGATCCGACATCTTTCATCATCCTTCTATTATCTTGTCTTGCGAGATTAAAACGAGGAATATATTGAATCTTTCGTGCTCTGAGCTATCTCATGAGAACATCTCTCTCCCTCTCTCTCTCTCGCACGCTCTCTATTCCTTTACCTCTTTTTTAAATTATTCCATTTTACACTATGAGAGGAAAAAAAGAATAAGAAAGTACTTATTCGCAAATCCAATAAATTTTCTTTGTCCAAGATGAAATCTTTTCCTCGTCGTAGACACCCTCATCTTCGAACGAACTTATAAAATTTCCTTTTACCTTCCCCTCTTTACCTCTCTTTCACATTCGATATAGTACAGTAAATTCCATAACGTAACGTAAAGAATGCTACTCGTTTTTTTTTTTTTTTTTTTGAAGTGTTACCAAGTCAGTAGCATCGTTGCGTCTTCTATTCTTCGTTTTATTCTCTTTCTATGCTCGTAAATCATCGGTGAGATCGTCAAAGCGGAAGTCGAGCGGAAGAAGCCGCCCGACTGATAAGGAGACGCATTTGCCGCGTTTTGTCGCGGTCCATAATAAAGGGCGTTGCGACAGACGTGCCATTAAAGCCTTTCCTTGTGCTAAACTATTTTATCTTTTTTTTTCTCTTTACTCTCTCTCTCTCTCTCTCTCTCTCTCTCCCTCTCTCTCTTCATTCTCTCTTTACTCTCTCTCTCTCTCACTCTTCTCGTCTCTATGAATATCAAACTCTATCTTTTATATATGAACTGAATATATTAGAGCATGAGTAAATCATATTTTATTGGTTACTTTTGTTAAGAGCATAAAAATAAATAAATAAAGAGATAAATAACTTCCTATTTACCTATCTTTCTCTCTTTTGTCGTACAAAAATAAAAGCTTTAAAAGTGTCAATATTATCTAACGATACATACATCAAATGATTGAGAAATTGTTTAAAATTTTTGTTTATAGTCTTTACTATACAACACGTTTGTATAATTCCCCCCCCCCGTAAATTTTCTGCAATCTCTAATAAATATATAAACAAATAATAACAAATAGTAACAAAATTGATTTTTCTTGTCGCCTGAATCACGATCATTTGATGGGAAAAGATAAAATTATGATTAATTTTTAATTTAGAAAAAAAAGAAAAAAAAAAAAAAAGAAAGAAAAAGAAAAATGAAGGAAAAAGAGATTAAAAAAATTTTTTTACTAAAATCTTCGTTCGCATAAGTTAATAAGCAATTTTGTAATCGTAATATCACGTCGATACGATAACAATCCCGATTATCGTTAAGTACATATTATAACGAAATCACGATGAATCTTAAAACGTAATGTCGAACTAATCGTTTCTCATTTTTAACGATGATAGAAAATTTAATATTTTGAATTCAATGGAAAAAAGAGATTTCGTTAAATCCAATTTATTCATACGCCTTCTTATAAAAATTCGCATAATACGGCCGTCGTATAGTATCTGTTAAAAATCAAAATTCCTTCCCAAGCGGAAACTCTATCAGAGAACGCACGAAACGCTTTGAGTGAAAAATCGGAGTTAATTGTAAAAATGACAAAACTTGGATAACGTTCGTTGTTCTTTCACTTTGTCTTTATCTTTCTCCATCTCTCTCTCTCTCTCTCTCTCTCTCTCTCTCTCTCTCTCTCTCTCTCTCTCTCTCTCTCTCTCTCTCTCTCTTTAGTCCTTTTTTCTCACTCGAGGGAATACGTAGAGCACCTTGCCACGCTCTCGAAACTCCATTAAGCTCGAAAACTAATTTCTACGGTGTACTCTCTACCCCTCTACCACCTTTTCATCTATCCATCCTTCTTTCTCTTTCTCAGGAGAGCTGCAGTGTAATCCTTCGCGGTCAAAGTACTTTCGAACATAAATTCGCACGTTCGAGATATATGGAGCGTACGGAAGTACGGTTTCGGTCTTCGATATCGCTTTTGGTACATACTTGCGGATGCTTACAACGTGAAAGCTCAATCATTGTTTGCACGGAAAGGAGGAAAAAAATAAATAAATAAATAAATAAATAAATAAATAAAAAAGAAAAAGAAAAAATATCATATACAGATATATAAAGTAAATAATACGACGAGGATAACGAATGAAAAATTCGATCGATTTTATCGAAACAATAATATAATCGATACTAAATCCCTATTGTAAGATCGATTGCTTCTTTCTCTTGCGAACAAAAAAATTCAAGTTCGTTGCTTCGAAATAATATCATCGTATACATATATGTATATATATATCATACATATATATCACATCGTATTACGTACCGTTTGTTGGCATGAATCTGAAAATCGTGCGAGACAAAACGCAGGAATATATATATATATATATATATATATATATATATATATATATAGATTTTCTGAAATAATCCGCAAAGATTTGCGTCTCTCTAAGTTTAAATGTCATCGGGATTTCCTCAATCAATTGTGTTCCAACTTGATGTAATAAAAAAAGAATTATCGCGTCAATGTGAAGTATACTCTGTGAATTACTGCAAATAATTTTTTTTACAAAGAGCAAGATAAAAATAATAACAATATAGATTATATAATCGATACGTAACCATTCATAGACAATTTTATCAAACTCCAACGACGTTAAGTCGTTGCGATTGAAATCGACATTATATCCTATCAGCTATATTGCAATATATTTAACAACAATCAGCCCATTTCGTTCTCGATAAGATTAAAAAGCAAAGTGGGAAAAGCCAAAGAAAACAAAGAGAACATCAGGTACACTCGAAAAGTTTTAAAAATATCAAATATCGAAATTAAACTAAAAATATATTCTTTCTTTTTTCTTTCTTTCTTCTTCTTCTTCTTTTTTTTTCTTTTTTTTTTTTTTTTTTTTTTTTTTGCAAACAATCATATCAGCTGTATAAAGAAAAAATTTGATTTAACGATAAATTACTCGAATAAAAATAAAATAAAGGAAGCAAAAGAGAAAAAGAAAGGATTATTTCGTTGGATTATTCTCGCCTTAAAAAGAAAAAAAAAAAAGAAAAAAATTTGGAAATGTAGTCCTCCGAGATTTAAAAAGTATCTCGACGTGAGAGCCAAAAGAAAGAGAACACAATCTACGTTATTCTTCCGAGAGAAACAAACCAGGAAAATACATACGACAGTGAGAAAAGCCGAGAAACGAGTTTTCGGGTACGGATAGTGGACCGCACGGGTCAACCTCAAGATGCCGACAGACTAACAAGCTTTCACGAGACGCATACGCATACATATATAGCTTGTTTCACGCCCGATGGACTTACCATTAATCTAACCACTTTGTATTCCGTACTGTTAAATTACTCGGGACTTATACCCTTATGTTTCAACAAGGAATTATTTCAACGAAAAGATTGCAACAAAAAGAGAGAGAGAGAGAGAGAGAGAGAAAAAAAAGAGAAAGTAAAAACTAGAAAGATCATTCGAGGTAGCGTAATTGTACCCTTAAAACTTTCCCAGTTGTTTTATTTCGGTGATTCGACAGCACGTAAAGAAGAGTTTAAACGAAAAAAGAAATACGAGTTCACGAAGGAACAGATTAAGACGCTACTAAAGTCAGATCCTACCACGAATCCTGTACATGAAGAAGGTGTTTCGATTAACGACGGAAACGTTTTATTAGGGTACTTCCCTAGCTCAGGATGGAAGAGAAATCAGGGAAGATATTCGTTCGACAAAAGAGGATTAGCTGATAGCGGTAGAGCATCTCATCAGTGGTGGTAGAGCAGCAGAAAATCCATCGTACAGTAGACAGTACTAACTATATCCGACTTGCAGACCATCCAATCAGGTTACCGGAGTTTCGAGTTTAATGCTGTTATGCGAATCAACGTGAGAGCGCACATCTATGAATCCGTGAAAATCTATGCCTCGGTCTTCCCCAATCCCACGTTTCGCGTTCTATCTAACCATCGAGATATCACAAATGACAAAGGACACATTCTCTCTATTTCTCGCTCTCTCTCTCTCTCTCTCTCTCTCTCCCTCTTTCTCATGAAAATTCTCGACATTTCACGTTTAAAATTGTTGATTAATTTTAGAATTTAACTGATAAAAAAAAAAAAAAAAAAAAAAACGAAACCTTGTTACATACATAATCTTTTAATGCAAGACAATCAACATTTTCATGAATCCAAACAAGGATCAGTTAAATGAAATTATTGTTTCTTGAGGAGAAAAAAAAAAAAATAGGAACGTCCAATCGAATTAGAACAAGTCACTATATAAATTGTGCAATAAAAATCCCAACTAACTTATGCATATAGATTGATATACACATTATTGCACGGCGCAATATCCGATTACTTTTGAGTCACTTCACAAACAACTTTTATCGATCTTGTTATCCGGATATCAAACTCCGGGCTACGCTGTCCTTTGATATAAGATGTTTCTCTCTCTCTCTCTCTCTCTCTCTCTCTCTCTATATATATATATATATATATATATATATATATATATATATATATATATCTATTTATCTATCTATGGAACATGTTTCATTCGTTTGTACCCTGATTAGTGTTATATAGTTTCTTTTTCTTTACGAAGGTTAGTCACATTTGAAAAAAAAAAAAAAGAAAAAAAAAAGAGCAAAAAAATTGGTAAACACGGAAAGAAATATTTCTCTTCAACTCTTAACTCTTTCTTTATTTTTATGTTTAAAAATCAAATAAAAATAAATAACAACGGGGGGGGTCCTTATCTTTTCGATAAGTCGAGCTCTTACGTACATTCACATGTGGAAAATCACAAGTAACGATTTAATTCAGCAACATCATGCAACATTATCTCGAACTGTTCCGAGTATCGAGATGCTTCGTTGATAAATACGGTAAATACAAAATAATGCAAGAAAGTGTCTCGTTCCTTTAACATTCGTCATTAGTTTTGTACATTTTCTTTTATTTTTTTTTTTCTTTTTTCTTTTTTTTTCTTACTTTCTCGCTTCGACAACTTCTATGCAAATTAAATTTTACGATCAGTTAAAGGGAAAACGCGCTATTAATAGTAACACGGACTTTTCGATTTATTTATTTATTTCTTTCTTTCTTTTTTTTTTTTCTTTTCCTTTCTTTTCTTTTCTTTTCCATTTTCCTCATGAATCATCAAGATAGATAGGACATTGTCTTCCGAGAGAAACAGATAGGGAGGAAAAAGGAAGATGGTTTTGACAGGCAATATTGATATCGAAACATGATTCGAGATTACAAGAAACATCAACGCGAAAGAATTGCCGATTTTCTATCAGTAAGATTTAGAAAGAGTAATTGTCATTACTTTGACGTTCTGTCAAGACAGTGAAATTCAAATTTCATTTTTCTTTTTTTTCTTTTTTTTTTTTTTTTGCTTCTTCATCTCCCGTCACATTCTCAAGATATACACAAATAGTTACATCGAGTTTTCGTTATTGCCTCTTCGTCCTCGTGGAATCATATTAATTCGAAAAGCCTCTTCTATTCGCGTGTCCGTAGATCGACAGATTAATAAGAAACATGCACGCGAGACCTGTCAAAGACGACGAGAGAGAATCGGAGTCGATACTTTAAGGCAGGCTCAATATGTGTCTCTAGCAATTCTAAAGCCTTACTCTGTATAGATGATAGAAATCCTGTCCAATATCAATTGATACGAGCCGTCGATCAAAGGAACCCCCGATATCAAATAGCCGATATTTGAATATATACGTGCGAAAGAAAAAGAATCTCAAAATAAAGTCGTATTATTTTTAAAGTCATAATATTCTCTTACGAATATATATTATATTCGTAATATATATATATATATATATATTAAAAAGGACCGATATGAGAGATATTAGTTCCATCCGATATACATGAAAATATATATATAATAAAATTAATCTTTGATACCAATAATAAAAATATAATAATAATTATAATAATAATAATAATAATAACAATCGCATCAAACGAATCCAAGAATATCGCAATATTAAACGCAAAGATTTCGTAATAATCTGGCTAGAAGTAGTACATAATTTCGTCGGTGAATTCGGTGCAATTCTATCTGTCCCTATCTGCTTTTATCCGGTATGTAAAAGCATAATTACTGTTAGTAATAGTGGTGGTGATATTAGCAATAGTAGTAGTAGTAGTAATAATAGTAGTAATAGTAGTAGCAGTATTAGTGATAGTCGTAGTAGTAATTGATGACGATGAAGATATATGACGATGATCCATATATCCAGGATAAGACGTACCTTGGCACGGCTACTGCTTCCAATCGATGTCCCAAATATATTTAATCTGATCGACACTGAGTTTCGGTACGGAGTCAAACCCCTTCATAAGTGTCCCTCGCGACGTCAAACAGATGTCACTCTCGCACCCTTACGCACCGACACAATATTATCTATCTATCCTTTTTTTCACGATCTCTCACGATCACTTTGATTATTTGGAAATTTTTTTCGGAATTAATTTTAACGTAGGTAAATCACGTAAAGTAATTCAAAAAGGACGTTCAATGATCTCAATGATCGAAAATTATTATTAAATCGATCTTGTCTCGTACGAATGATGAAAACGTATTAAAGATGGAGAAAGAGAAAGAGATAGATATAGATATATATGTATATATATATATAGATCGATAAATCACATTGAAGAAAACCGGTGGTCGTGTGCCAAGTTAATCGCGTTCTCACGATAGTCACCAATTACTGGAGACACCTGTTCAAAGACGCTATCTTTTATACCATGGTCGCGACAAGATAAGATGCCTAGTAGTCCGAGACGTCTTCGTATACAAGCGTCCAGTTTCCTCGTTTCCAATGCACGACGCGCGTCACACAAAGAGTTTCCCGAATGATCATCGCGTATACTTCCTCAACGACGTTCCTGGCACAAAGCCGTCAATTTCATAGAAATATCCTATTTGATTTAGACTATATATCGATCCTTTCGAAGAATCATACACCTACGAATTTCAATGATCCAATCTATACAATATTAATGAACGATCGTTGCTCGGCGTTGTTAAATGTCGAAACGTAAGAAAAAAAATTTTAAGAGAATTCTAAAATTAAATTTAAAGAGGAATAAAAGAGAAAGAAAATATTACGAAAACAGAACTATACAAGATAATATAAAATATAAGTAAATGAACGAGGGGAAAAAATAATTGACAATCTTTATCACTTACTTCCTTTGAATGATGATATCAAAAGTAATAATTAAAAATCTTTTAATAATTATACGAGAGATATAAGAAACTATTCGATCGAATTCGAAACAATATCTATTAAATTAACTAACTTCTCTAAGTTCTTCCATTTTGAAATTCTCATGGAAATCCTTCTCATTTTTGAAATCAAATCAAACTCTCGATTATGTAAGAATTGCGATCACTTGGAATATACGAGGAAATTTCTCAATTCGGTCTCTTTTTCTATTGATCGAAGTAAGAACAAAAGGAAAATAGTTCGTCTTCCAAGAACTTTCTTTTTTATTTTCTTTTCTTTTCTTTTCCTTTCGTTTGTCTTCTTCTTTTATTTCTTTCTTTCTTTCTTTCTTTCTTTCTTTCTTTCCTTTTCATTCGTCCTTTCTTCTTCTTCTCTCATGCGATATAATAAGTGCCGTGCGCGAAATCGTGCTTTTGAAAATCGAAGAAAATCGATGAAAATTTTCGTTGCTTTGAATATCGAAAAGGTTTTTATTCGTTAGAAAATTATCTAACGCTTCTACGTGATACACGTTAATCTTAAATCGATAAATCATAAAACACGACAACGACGAAGGGTGAAGGTAATATAAAATGGTTATAAATAATTCGACGTGGATTAAGACGAACATACGTATATACATATGACAATCCGATAATAAATGGCTACCGTCTATCGATGTGACACCGGCAACACAACAGAGTATCGTATAGTTTCCTCCATCAATTTGAATTCTATCGCGCTCAATTTCGATGCCTGACACGTACCTGCGGCTTTTCGTGCCAGAACAAAGGAGGAAAATGTCGCATCGGCAAAACCGCCCGGACACATCTCGTCGATGATGAAAGACGCCTTCGAACGCGATCGATTCGAAATTTCCATTTTCGTTCGGTCCCTTCGCTAAACTGTATTTATGCATCGACGACACTCGACCAAAAATATCTGGAATATTCCTATCCCCAAAAAAATCACGAGCTTACTACACCGTTTCTATTTTCCTTTATTTTCTTCCCTTTTCATTTGATTCCTTTCTCTTCCTTCCTTCTTTTCTTTTTCTTTCGCAGAAAAAAAAAAAAAAGAAAACACGTGGAGAGAGAGAGAGAGAAGGAGAGAATTTTCGAAGATTCATAGAGAAATAATGCATTCTTGTAAATAAAATTATGCTCGAAACGTAAATTAATCCGAACTCCAATGATTTATCAATTATGAATGAGATTCAATGAATGCATGTCTTTTCTTTTTTTTTTTTTTTTTTTTTTGGTTTTTTTCTTTTTTTTTCCCCGTTTGTTTTATTTTTTTTTTCCTTCTCCTTTTTCTCTTTCAAAGAATAACGTAAGACTTTACGATGACTGCGGTATTTCTGAAGTAATAAACGAGGATAAGTCAAGAGAAGTAGAGAAGAGAGAAGAAGGAGTCTCGGAGTAGTCTTAAAGGCGATAGCTCTCCTAGTATATAACCGCGTTCAGTCGAAAAAGCGGTCAACATTGAGCTATATGATCAACGCAATCCAAATGTGATATTAATATCTTCCTTCTTTCAAGATATTACCTTCCTGGCACAAAACGCATTAATGCCAAAACGAATATTATTCAAAATTCTTTAACAAATTATTATTCGTCTCGTATAAAAACTAAATCTGTCATCAAACTTTCTAAAAGCTCATATGTTAGATTAATGGAAGTATCGTTGAAAAACAATTGATTTATTTTTTATTTAAATACTATCTGTTTCTTTATAAATACTTAAGTAGATAAAGTATCCTTCCGATTATTCACCGACTTGAAATAATTATATGTATCACGATTTGATAAATATCACTGCTCTTAAAAGGATCACTACATAAGAAACACCATAAAGAAGACAGAAAGAGAAGAGACGCGAGAGAAAGAGAGAGAGAGAGAGAGAGAGAGAGAGAGAGAAAGAGAGAGAGAAAGAATATAAACAAAATATACAAACAAATGGATGGAAAAGGTACAACAAGAGAGAGGGGAAGAGAGAGAGAGAGAGAGAGAGAGAGAGAGACGGAAGACTCGCATCGAGCATGACGCGTGCGCATGCGCGTGGGAGTGTGAAAGAGCACGCCGATGTCGTTCGCCGTGCAGATGGTACACGCTATTGACCTTGAACGCAAATTCGTCTCTCCTCGACCTCGAGAGAAGTGGAATTTCGTGTCGACCTTGAAAACCCTTACGCTAGACGCAAAGTCGTCACCAACGGAGACGAGGAAATAGAACGCAATCGGTCTATATATCGAAATAAAATCCAAGGGAAAATCTTTTTATCTCTTTTTAAGGAAAGGATTCGAACAAATTTTCCGCGTACCGTGGTGCTTTGGCGGCGCTCGAACGACTGACGCCGTCGCGACGGCTCGACGACGTCCAGACTCTTACGCAACGGCGTCTTCTTCCCCCCTTTTTCACCCTTTGGACTTGCTACTTCTCGTTTCTGATATAAGTATCGAGAGAGAGAGAGAGAGAGAGAGAGAGAGAGAGAGGGAAGTTATACATGGGTCCAAGTTCGCACGAGGACGAATAGTCTCAAGACAGACATCGTCGTAATAATAGTAATAGTAGTAATAGTAGTAGTAGTAGTAGTAATAGTAATAGTAATAGTAATAGTAATATTAATAGTAGTCTTCGTCGTAGTTGTCGTCAGCGACGTCGAAGAAAGACGATGAACGTCGTCACGAAAACATCGACGTCGATGAGAAAGAGAACGCGTCCGGGATAACCAGTGAAAGCCGGTATAAACTGGACACGTTGATTTGGACGTCGCGACGCCAACTACTAACTGCTTTTATAACGGGTGAACATTTAACGTTTCTATAACGCCTACGTTCTATTCGTTTATGTGTCTGGATGTCTCTCTGATTATCTGTTTTCTCTCTATTTGTCTGTCTCTACTTCAAGATGACGAGTCTCAAAAATTCCTGTTACTCTTCACGATCGATGTCGTCGTCGTCGTCGTCGTCGTCGTCGTCGTCGTCGTGCTTTATCCTCTTCTTCTCTTCCTACACAAAAAATCGTCCATGTGTCGCAAGAATCTGGTAAATGCACGCCCGAGGATTAAGATTTTTTGACGCTTTTCAAGATATAATTGTCAGTGATGATGATGTGTATATACGTGTCATTTTATTTCATTAAAAGTGTACGAGTGTGAGTGTACGTGCGCGTGCGCGCACACGTGTGCTTAAATCTGCGTATGCGTATACGAAAAGGAAGAAAATATCGCGTAGGCCGGCTATTAATAATTTTTCTAAGCAAACATCGCGACTCTGGCAGCACGAATTTAAAACTGATAACCGTCTCGGTCCTCGATTCGTAAAATCCAAAGCGCAGGCTTGGCACGAGATGAATGTAGGTTGCTGGAACGCGAAATGCAGAGAGATGGACTACTTGCTTTCTATCTCTCGTTCTCTCTCTCTCTCTCTCTCTCTCTCTCTCTCTCTCTCTTTCTCTCTCTCTCTTTCTCTCTCTTTCTCCGCGACCGAATGAATGGACTATTCTACCGATAGATGGATCGTGGTCGTCGAAAATCAATTGGACCAACTAGGCCTTTCAAACCAACTATCGTCTTGCCAAATGGTTTGGAAAAATGATGAAAAAAAAAGGGGGTCTACTTCTTCAAAATTTTTAATCGTCTTTGAGATTTCATTTTGTAAACGAATAGAAATATTCGAGATGAGTTTTAAGAATTGACCTGGGAGATAATATTTACGAGACTAAAAATGAAGAGGCCCGAGGAAACAACAGTGAGATCGATTATTCCCAACGCATACATACATATATGCGTATATATGTGTACGTACATATACACAAAGGATATACACATACAATATAAATTATGTGCGATCTTAGTTGCTGCAGTCTCTGCTGATTGTCGTCGCGAGAGAACCCGTGCCGAATATAAGCGACGATACAGATCATTCGACACAGTGACCCAATTATGTCGGAACGACATAAACTATATATATACATATATATAGATAAATAGTGAAAGGAAGAAAGAACAAGTATTTGACGATTCTTCTAAAAAAAAAATAAGGAAAAGAAAAAGATTCATTTAAAAAGAAGAATCTAAAAAAGAGTCTATACTTATTTCGATTCTTGATTAAACAGAGAATGAGATCATAATTAAAACGAGTATAATTATATTAGAATTCAAATCGTCAATAGATCGATGCCAAATTTGGAGAATGAGTAAGGACTTAATTAAAAGTCCGTCCTATCTTATACGTGATTGTGTCCTGTTTAAAATCTATCTCTATGTATACGTAGTACGTTGTATATACTGAATGCATATATACAGATACACACCTATTTTCTATTGTTGCACGCGTTCTGTATTTGGCTTCGATCGTGAAACAAGCTTTCCAAGTACAGCGACCCTAATATAGATTCGACCGTTAAAAATAGACAGTCGATCTTCTTCGCCAACGTAGAGAAGAGTTCGCTGGTGAATTCATTTCGAAACGAACTCTTTTTTTCCTCTCTTTTCACCTCCCTTTAAACCTCCCTCTCCCCACTTTCTCTCTCTCTCTCTCTCTCTCTCTCTCTCTCTCTCTCTTTCTCTCTCTTTCTCGTCCCCATTCGCCGCGTCTCTTTCTTTGCTCTTACTCCTCTTTGACTGTACTCTCTTCTTCTCTCGAGATATCTCTCGTCTACGGTCTAGACGATTAATTAATTGCGATAACGCGATTAAAGAAGTTGCCCAGCCTCTCCCTCCCTTCCTTGTGACTGGCTCTTAAGATTTTCAACGTCGATATACAGTGCAGTAATATCTATCTATCTACCTACCAATCTACCTATCTACCATCTACCTCTTCTTCCTTTTCCTCCATAATTGAACGATCGAAAAGCGCTAGGAATTTTTCTCTTACGATGAAAAAATGAAAACGGTCGAAGGAAGTAGCAACCACGAGCTCTCATCTCGAAATATGTAATCAGGGATGAAAAGCGTTTCGAAATTGTTTCCGCTTTTCTTGGTTGGAAGGAAAGAAAAAGAATAAAATGGAACGAGTCTCTTCTTGTACGTTTTTAAAAAGAAAATTAAAAAAAAGAAAAAAAAGAAGAAGAAAAAAAAACAACTGCGAAAGCTTCGTTATCGTTCTAATAGCTTTAACCAGAAATCGAGGAAGCCAAAATCGTAAAGGGAGACATGCAAAGATATATACATAGAGAGAGAGAGAAAGAGAGAGAGAGAGAGAGAGAGAGAGAGAGAGAGACAGAGAGGGAGAGAGAGAAAGAGAGGAGGAGAGAAATAGAGTAGTATCCTTAAAGCAAAAAGTCAACAGAACAGACCGTTCCCATTCTTTCTCTCTTTCTCTCTTTCTCTCTCTCTCTCTCTCTCTGTCTCTCTCTCTCTTTCTTTCTCTTTCTCATAATAGTTCTATGGAATTTAATCGAGACAACAATTGTTTCCTATTAACAATTATGAAAGCACTTTGGCCAAGCTTTGAGATGCTTTGAAGCATCGCCAATGTAGAAGAAGCCATGCCCGACAATTTGTTTTAAGTATAATCTACACGATGACCGAACAACAGAGTTTCCTGAAGTCTCGAAAACCATGAATCCGAAAAACAATCATCAAAAATAGTTGTCCCATAATAGACTCATTCAATTTTCATCTGACAAAATTTCGAATGGTACGATATAAAATAAAAAAAAAAAAAAAGAAAAAAAAAAAATATCGACATTCTACTATGTTTATTAAAAAGTTTATAATCGATAAGAGAGATGATTTTATCGACTAATTGTAAATACTTTTCTATTCTCTCTGATACGTTTCAAAAAAATCTTAATAAGACATATGCGGGTGCTATGTAAAAAAGAGAGATAGATAGATAGAGAGAGAGAGAGAGAGAGAAAAAGAAAGAGAAAGAAAAAGAGAGAGAGAGAAAGAGAGAGAGAGAGAGAGAGCGAGAGAGTAAGAATCAGATCGATAACACTTCCATTATTATAACATGTTCTCTTCGTATCAAAGAGAAACTTTGTATTCAAATACTCGTTTTCCTTTTACCTAGGAGAGAAAGAGAAGAAGAGAGAACGAAAGAGGAAGAGAGAGAAAAATTCTGATAAAAATCTAATTATTATATGACTCGTGTGAAGTTGTAGGAAAATGATTTATTAAGACAGACAGAGAAAGATATATATATATATAGAGAGAGAGAGAGAGAGAGAGAGAAATAGCGAGAAGGATTGATAAAAAAAAACTTAACTCTTTATTGCGATAATTTATTGAGATGAAAGAAATATTTATTAAGTAACTTCCGTTATTTTTTATCGATCTTAAAGAAAGCAAAAAGAAAAAGAGAAAAAACAAGATGACACTCGGAAAGCGTGAAATTTTCACGGGGAATCTCCGATAAACCCTTATAACAATCGTTATCTTTTATCGAGGGAATACTACATATATATATATATATATATATATATATATATATATATATATATATATAAGAAAAAAAAAACAATTATTTTTCTTCGATAAAGAAAGAAAGGGAAAGAGTGATATAAACGAGGATTCATAAAGATATCAATGTTATTCTGACGAGAAAAGTGTGAAAAAAAAAAAGAAATGGAATAAACGATTACACTTGTTTCTTTTTTGTTGCAATCCAGAGGGATTTCCTACAAATTCTTTTCAAGGCTCGACTATCAAGTAATAGTTTTATTATCGTATCCGTGATTCGCCTTGTGATACAATTTTAACATAACAAAAATCGAAATCGTCGGGGATAAACGTTGAGCTTAACCAACGATCGTAACTTTTCTACAGTGTCGAGGAAAAGAGTTCACTGAACTCAAAATAAATCATTTCTCTCGCGCTGGATGCACTTTAGTACGAAGGATGCGCACTCCCTTTGACGATAAAGCGCGAAGGATGACAAAGAGAACGAGGGAGGACATTAGTGAAAAGTTGTGAGACAGAGAGAGAAAAAGAGAGAGAGAGAGAGAGAGAGAGAGAGAGAGAGAGAGAGAGAGAGAGAGAGAAATAGTTTGAGAAGTATATGTGTATAGGTGTATATATGTGTGTGTATATATATATATATGTATATATGCGTAAGTACATACAGCGTGCTCGAAACTTTTGAAATTTCCATCAACGCTGACGAGCCCTGTGATCACGTCTTCATACTTGTTTACCATTTGATTTTACTATATAAAAAGAAAAAGAACGATAGAGAAAGAAAACGAGAAAGATAGATGAAGAGAACGAATGTCTGTATTCAGAACAACCTTTAATCCGACCCATTCAATCTCTACGTCGAATGAGAAGATTAAAAAAAAAAAAAAAGAAAAAAAAAAAATAAAGAAAAAATAAAGAAAAGAAAATATAGTAAAAGAGTTGAAATTCGCCAAAGCGAAACGAACTTTAATTAAAAATTGAACATAGTCCGTTAATTATTTTAATTCTGTAACCAACCATTATTCGGCTTTCGGCTTATCCAACTTTCAATGTATATATATATATATATATATATATATATATATATATATATATATATATGTACTGGACCAAGTCCAGTCTGTCTCTCTCTCTTTCTCTTACTCGCGAGATCGAGCGAAAACCATTAAGCAATTTCACTGAAGGACTCTCGCGAGTTGTAAAAAATTTTCTCTCCCCTACCCCTCTTTGCTCCCAGTTAAGGCGATAACACCGAGAACGAGCCATTAAACAATTTCGTAGGGCATGTGAACGCGTCGAGGAGAGATAAGGTGGCCCTTTCTTCCCTTTTTTTCTTTTTTTTCTTCGCTCTTTTTTCTCTTCGCTCTCTTTTCTCTTTTCTTCTCAACTCGACCCTTTTGATGATCCAAAGGATTTTATAGGACGATACTATACGGGAAAAGAGACTAAAGGAAGTTCTGTCTCCACTTTCTTTACCTCTCTTTCTCTCTCTCTCTCTCTATCTTTTTATCTTTCTTTATCTATCTATCTATCTATGTATGTATCTATCTATCTATCTATCTATCTATCTACCTATCTAGCTAGCTCTCTCTCTCTCTCTCTCTCTCTCTCTCTCTTTCTCTCAGCTCGTTTTACAAGACACTTTGAAAGTTTCCAACTTTTCATCAAGGCTGATGCGCCCATAACCACACCTCGGCGAACATCAATTTTGTCGTCGAACGAGCGAAGGAAAGTACGTTTTGCCTCGATAACAAAGAGCTGGGAACGATAAGAAGTATGTTAGAGAAAGAAAGAGAGAGAGAGAGAGAGAGATTTTAACGTGAAAGAGAAGGAAATAGTAAGAAAATAGTCCAAAAAAGGTAGTTGATTTTTGCGAAGAAGTACATTTAATAAAATCGCGATGCAACGTTTTCTACATACTCTTTCCTCTAATGTTTTCTCCCTCTCTCTCTCTCTCTCTCTCTCTCTCTCTCTCGCATATTCTCGTTCTCAATTTTTTTTTCATAAGATTCTCCGATTCAACTTCTCTCTTCATTTTCTTTGCTTCGTAAATTTTTTCAATACACCCGAAAACTCTTTCGTACTTGGGAAAAATCAAAAATAAATTTCAATTAGAATCCTGTAAGAAAGACAATATATCTTGTGTCCTGTGAACGGGAGGAGTACGAGAAAAATAAAATACAATTGTGCGACTTTCTAATCTTTCTAAAAGTGCATCCTTATCTGAGTAATTCGAAGGAAGTATTTAAGAAGGATAATGAAGAAAATAAAAAGTTTCGGAAATTATGCAAAATAAGATAAAACGCACGAACGATTATGGTTAAACTTTCAATCCGATTTGTGTGCCTTTGTGTGTGTATGTGTGTGGTGTGCGTGTGTTTGTATAGATTTAAAAGAAAAAAAGACAAAAAAAAAGAAAAAAGTAATTTGCTTTTAACGATCGAAGGGAGAGATTAGATCGATCAAAGGGAGAGATTAGATCGATCGATAATAAACGAATAATTCTAATATCTTATGAGATCTTCGTCAATGACATAAATTACATGAATGCCATTAAGAAAACGATGATCAATGAACCAATACTACGACCAAATTCGCTAATTCGCCAAGAATTATCGATCAGATCGTTCAATAAGACAGCGCCAGCGAGCAGCAGAGTTAATCGTACATGCTTCAATGTCGAACGGCTTAAGTTCCTGTGATCGTATAGGTCATGGTTCGCTGTTTCCTACTGATTAATGATCCTTTCGATGATCTACGCTCTCTCGAATGTTCACGAAAACATATGCTTCAAAGAAGAAATTCATCGAAAAAGAGAAATCGATAATTACTTCAATTTAATTTATTTATTAATACTTCTTTTTTCTTTTTTTATAATAAAAATGAATTATTCCTGACAATTATCCTATAATGGATGAATTTTACAAAAATACGAATAAAAAGAGAATATAAAAGAAACATCGAAAAACAAAAATAAAAGAGAGAAAGAAAGAGAGAGAGAGAACAAAAAATTTTCGACATTGAATCAAAACGAATTTAAGCCGAAACTTAAATATTGATCGAAGGAATTGAGCTATTCGAGGGACGAAAAAAATTGGAGGGAGAAAAAAATGTTTAACGATTACGAAGAAACGTGAGTTTCGTTCTAAGGAATCGCATCTTATTACGAAAGAGTTTACCAATCGTATCAGACTTGAGGAAAAGTGTTGACACGCATTCAAAGGAAATAGCAATGCCTTCGAAACGTCGGATTTGTGGAAAAAAAAAAAAAAAAAAAGAAAAAAAGAAAAAAAAGAAAAAAAAGAAAAAAAGAAAAAGAGAGTAAGAGAGAGAGAGAGAGCTAATATTTCAAAAAAGGTAACGTTCGATAACGAGACGTGTATAGAATGAAAGCATATTACGATGCAACGAATGAACGAATTGAAAAAGAAAAAGGAGAAACGATCCAAAGTAAAATTAAAATAGAATTCATCAAATTCTTTGCGCATTGTTCATAAACAACCATTCGATTATTCTACTACATAGGCACCGTCATTCGTCGAATAGCTGATGAACGCACGAGAGCCGCCACCTCTATAATCCAATTCGCCGTGATATTTTTAAAAGCAAATTGAATTAGAATTCCTCTCTCTCTCTCTCTCTCTTTCTCTCTCTCTCTCTCTCTCTCTCTCTTTTCTT